GTGACCGTGCCTTTGCTGTTTTAGCCCCAACATTGTGGAATAGTCTTCCCCAATCACTCAGATTCACTGAATCTGTGGACTAGATCCACTTGTTTGTTTTCTCCCCTGTCATCTCTCTTTTAATTTATCCTTCCCTCTTGTTTTGTCTTCCTTATGTTTGTATTTAAATGCTCCCTATGTATGTTTGATTGGTTATGGTTATGCAGGTACATATTTATATGTAATACCCATGTGTATGTTTGTTGTTTGTAAAGCACCTCTGTGTTAAAAAGGTGCTATATAAATAAAGCTATACTTACGTACTTATCACATTATTTGTTAAACCACAAACACGGATATATTTTTATTTATTTACATGCATGCGTCTTTCTTGTTCAAAACCCACAATGCAAATCGACCACAGACAGTTCTGTCAAAGATCTGCGTGCGTTGTGCTAGCAAGAGGAAGTGCAGGGTACAGAGGTCTGGTAAGCTTTCTAACTCCACATCCTCCAGATTTTTTTAATTTTCAAAATTGTAGTCTTCAGACCTCTCTGACGATCAGCCCATACAAAACGTTTGTGGGGCCGGGGCCTTGAACAAGGTGTTGTGTATGCAAGCGCACTGGCTTTTTCATAGGGTGGGGGTTATGAAACTGTTGACTGGGTAACACCTCTGATACACACACAAAATGAGAGAACATATACCTCAAAGCCTGTTGCAAACCTTATCAAGGAAACACAAAAGCCTGTTATAATTATTTTCCACATATACATTAGTAGACTTTGATGTGTAAAAAAAAAAAAACCTTTAACTTTCCATCCAGTGTTTTCAGATCTGAATGTTAATTTGAGCATAAATGTGGTTTATGATTTATGTAAACAAATGACATTCCCATCAGCCTCAGCTGTGCCAATTAGTAAAGGTCAACGTGATAACACGCTGAACTATGATGGTGAACATGGTAAGTATTAAACCAACCTGTTAAACATCAACATGTTAGCATTATCATCCTGAAAGCATATAGAAGTTGGCACGAGCCCAAAGCAGCTGTACAGCCTGGAAGTGTGACTGGCATTGCTGTACTCTAGTTTCTGGTTATTTCATTTCAAATTGGATTATATTTACATTCTACATGTTAAAAAAAAATAGCCAACATGGTAGGTGTTTTACAGGTTAGACCTAATATATTTCAAATTGACTCCTTTTAGGCCTCATTAATAAATCATATTTATAGCAGTATGGTGGGGGGAAAAAATGGCTTGGGAACAGGCTTTTGCTAAGTAAAACATAATTGAAAATAAATGAATAAATAAATAAAAGGCACAAAATTCAAATAATTAAATCATTTTAAAGATCTGATTCATCTGGGGGGAAAGCAGATTGGTTAGGTGGAAGAAAAATAAAAGCAAGGGCCACAAAATAAGCCCTCATTTGTAACAAAGACCAACATAAAATTGTGAAACCTTCATACTAATCATAACGAGCATAAAAACCAAATGGAAATCCCTGAACCCTCCTTCAGGCCACACGCTGTTTGAAGAATCAGGAAATTGCCTGCCACTTATAATGATGTCACTCCGCATGATAAAGTAGACTGCAGCTCACACAGCCCGGAGAGAGGCAGACAGCAGCAGTGCGACTGAGGCAGCCACTGGCATGAACTGAGTTTACACGAAAGGGGAATACTAACAACTGACAGAGACAACCTATTGGGATTTGCTTAAGGATCTGTCTGTTGGACTCCAGCAGTCTCCGCACATAACTGGAGCGAAAGACAAGAAAGGAGACATCGCACATCGGCCGAGTTGGTAAGCCCCACCGCAGCCGTGTTTCACTGTTTGGGCTGAAAAGAATCAAACATTCACGCTCGTTTTTGTTTGTGGTCTCGGTGTTTCAGTCGTTTCCAAACACCATGTGCTCGGATACGGTGCCTTCAAGTTCTTCTTTTTTCTCTTGTTTGTCAACACGGTTAAAAATGCAGAACTTAGATGAGTTTTTAAAAAAAAAAATATATGCTAACTGTGGTTGTTTGAGTGGCTGGTTGTTTTGGAGGAGGGTATGTTTTTTAAAGCCAGATGAAGATTGGAAAGAGTCGCATCACTTTCACACACAGATTGCTACTCCTCGCAAACTAAAAGCAATTCTGGCATCTTCATTTAAAAAAAAAAATAAAAGTCAAGTAAGGTCCTTTTTGGGTTGCTAATCATTAAAATGCTGTATTTCCAACTGCCTGTAAATGCACCGATCGCTTGGTCCTTCCTGTTAACTGTGGCTTCCTAGATAAGATTTCTCCATACACATGTCCTTTCTACTTCATTCACCACAATCTCCTGTGTACTGACATATTGTGATATGTGTTTAAAACTGTCCAAACTGTATCTGTGCATGTACATATATCTCCAAAAATCACCACTCATCAATGTATAATGACATACTACTTGCAATTCATCTTTCTAACTGATCGTTCTTTTTCTTTTACAGCCACTTCTCCTTTTCTACCGCAGGAGCCATGGTGGCAGCAGTCCTGAAGATATACTTTATTGGCACGGCGCTGAGTGTCCTGGCTGTCCTCTTTGGATTAGCGGACTCCTTTGGTGGTCTGATGTACGTCCAGGAGGACATTCACCACATGTTGGGGCTGGACCACCAGACAGAGACAAAGGGGCAGGTCTCCTCAGACGACCACCAGAGAGGAGCATCTGTGACTAAAAACATTGGCTCATGAGGGGGAAACTCGTGTGGAAATTGGGTCACTTTTTTTTTTTTTTTTAAGCGTGGCTGCTGGAAGGACACGCCGGATACTGTGTGGCTAATGGACTGACAAACAGGGAACCTGACTGATTGTGCTGTTTCTACTGCCAAGTATCAACATCATGGTGATGGCTAACTTGCTGGACGTGTTCTGTTCCCTTTTTTTTTATGTCTCGCCGCCCTAGATTAGTTTGTTGATATGGACACGTAATCCCTGCAGCATGTCTCTATTTGCTCTACTGTTTACCATCTGCTGTCAAACACTGTAGCAGCTAGCTTGTGTCAAAGGCAACTACAAATCTGACGTGTAACCGCACTACTGAACAATGATTTGCACTAAAAATGAGGAATGCTTTGGCTTTTGTCAGGGCAAAATGTGGATTTTGAGGTTGTTGTTTTTTTAATAAAATGAATTATGTGTTGTAATGAGTATACTGCAGCATTTTCTAAGAAACAGAAGTCATACTGTAGGCTGACTGTTTACGGAAAGCGTATTGATGGAACCCAGGTTGACTCACAATATCTAATGTTGAAATGTATGGAAACACACTGAAACCATTTCAGCAACTACTAAGGAACTTAAAGGCTGATACAATAGAGCTTTGCATTATTGCCACTACCCCCATACAGTGGATGAAAACACAAATACAATATGTTAATCCTCATGTCAACCCTTTGATTTCCTTTGAATTCACCCTGAAGGTATGTTCAATTTAAAACAAACAAATGCTCAGATAAAAGAAGAAGAAGAAAGAAGATATACTTTATTGATCCCCCTAGGGGGAAATTGTTTTTTTCACTTTTTTTTTTTTTATATGCACACACACACAGAGAGACAAGTAAGAACTTGGTAAAGATATAATCCTTTCATAGCCTACATACACTACTAAAGTGAACACACAGTAGCCAAGTCATGTTGGGTCAAGTTTTATCTGTATTGATTCAACTGATATCACATGCAATGTTTTCCGCGAAGGCATTCGCAAGACTACGCAAGTAATGGGTCTCAACACAGCCCGCGCTCTCTGGTTGACAAAAAACCACAGCATGGCTGGTTGCGCAATGGGAGTCCTTTAGGTACAATCTGGACTTGATGACGTATGAGCAATGAATATGGTCATAGCTAATGTGAAAGGGATTGCTTAAAGAGAAGAAGCCACAGGGAGTAGTCAGTTAGTGTAAGATTCAGTCTCATATCACTGATCTGACCCACATATTTTTCTTATGAGTTTGTGAAGTAAATACTGCACTTTAGGTACATTCACGGGGTGGGGTTTCTTGTATAGATGTTTCACAGAATCGAGCTGAACTATCTGAATCATTACTGACACAGACTCCGTGGGTTGTGGTGGTGCGGCTCCCCCCACTGGGAACGCAGCCGTGATACACAATATGACATTTCCTGTTAAAAGCTTGTAAAACTAGAAACAAGCCTGATGTGTACTGAACTGAACTGTAACCTGGCCTGGTTCCTTACTGGTGTGTGTGTGTGTGCCTAGTCTTTGGACGATGAAACAATCACTGAAGACACTACATTGTAGCTGTGAATCTTTCGACTGCACAGATTAAATCAGCAAAGTGATTTGTAATTGTCCATCTGTCATCGCACAGCCTGGAACATGACACAAATTAATGCTAATGTTGCTTCATATCGCCTCCAACTAAGTAACGTGTAAATTTGTCAGTTCCTTTTATAGGAAGTCTGTCTGCTTGGTTTGACCGTTTGTTACTCTGTTTTTCTGTCTCCAAGGCTGCAGGGCAGTAGTCAGGGGACACACCTGGGCCCCGTGTGCCTGATGCATAACAGCCTGAGCAGCAGCCAGTCCGTTACAGATGTCCTCTGCCCACACACCTCTGCATTGTGCTTTTTGTTCCATTTCCTTTGTTGTTACAACACAAGAGCAGCACATTTCTACTCATCTACGCTCTGCGACTGACTTTACATTTTAATTTGTTGTAAAGACATAACTTATTTAGTACACTTGTGTGTCTCCCATTTTGGTCCCAGTCTAATAGATCAGAGAATCAGCATTTTCCAATTTAAAGCCCCCTATTGGCAGGATGACAGTGTTGCTTGTGCCTTTCAAATCTGTAGATACAGTATGACCCACACAGGATATTCCTTACCTATTTTTGGAAAGCCAAAAAATTTTAAAAAATTAAAATTGAACTAAAAACTAGGTGTGAAAAAACATTTTAGTTAACCGAAATAGAAATAAAAACTGGAAAAACTAACTTCAAAATAAAATAGAAATTTACAGGAAATGGCATTTTAGCCTTTGTGACTTTGCCAATTACACAACAAGCATAAGGAGGCATTGGTGCATATATTTATTCCAGAGTCTGGGATGTTATTGTGTCATGATTGTGTTTGTATTGTAATATCTATTGTGAACTTTTTAAATCTTGCCCTTGACCAATTATTATTTTTATTATTATAATAAAAAACTGAAACTAATATTAAAAAGGAACATTTTAAACAACAAGAAATGAGAAAAACCCACTGCACTGAAACTAAACTGAATTGTAATGAAAATAAAAACTCCTGAAAAACACTATCATCACGATCAGAGGTTACAGTGGTGATATTTGCAGTAGGCACAGCCACACAGCAATAGAGACTAGTCATCTCATCTGAGGTGAGTCACAGGGTCATTATGTTTTGACATAATGTACTCACTCAAGTTCTCACAAAGTAGCCTTTTGGTCCACTTCTCTTTTTATGTGCGGTTTCCCTTCCTCTAACCAGCATGTAACCCATATAACAAAAAGACTATAATTATGTACTTTTGTCTTTAATTTTTTCAAAAATTATACATCTGGATGAGATTAAAGTACACAAAATGTAATGTATTAACATGAGCTAGAGGACAAAGAAACTTTATTCCAGTTTAAAGGATCAGACATATAACTTTTGCTTGCTGTGCTGTGCTCTTCAATCTCCTCCTGCTTTCATGAAGACTCTGAATGGGTTAATATCTCTTACACCACCTTGTACTGTATTGTGGCTCACATGTCCGAACAACTGTTGAAGTACAAAGAATAATAAAATAATCAAGACACGAAGTTCATCAAAAGTTAGGTGGAATTCCAGATCAGCCCGCGGCAACACAGGCTGTGCTTCATCCCTGTCACAGCTCATAGCTCTGTCTTCTGCGTCCTGGGGTGTGTTTGTGAGCTCCAAACACACGTAGCTACTTGTTTGTTTTACTTTCAGACACTGATCTGAAAGATATTACAACTGCACTGAAGGAATAGCCATAATTTAGTCGTGCGTAAAAGCGCAAATCCATGAGGCGCATTGGCACCTGAGAGTGAGACGTTGCGTTCAGTTGTGCACACTACAAATAAAAACAGGGTGTAAAACATTTCAGTTACGCTGCATTCACGCCCCCCCTCCACTCCACTCCAACTCGCAAGAACTTCTCTATTCCGGCTGTTACGCATTTTTTATCTGTCACTTGAAATTCCAATATTTTTGACAAAACCTGAACCCCACCTTTTATTTTTCTTGTGTTGGTTGCAACTGGCCACAAGGTGCGTTTCCATCAAATACACTTGACATGTAAATCCTCCCAGCAGCTCAGGTCACCTGGATGCGGGTACAAACACCTGCTGGCGGAGGACGCACCACTTCACACAGCACTTTTTATGTTAATGACCCGTCCAAGCACGTCCCACCCCCACTTGCCTTTACAGCGCAACACTAATAATCGAGTCAGTAGAGACAGGCATCTCGGTCACTGGCACTTTATAGTGAGGTCCCCTTTATTTTCGCATCGGATATGATCTGGAGACTTGTGGTCCTAAGTGGGCTGTACGTCCTTCTCCTGGGCGCTGAAGGCAGCAGCCGCGGGGGGAGGACGGTGACTTTCCATCGGACTCAGCAGGATGAGAGCCAGGGCCAAGCGCGCGCACGCCCCAGGAGGGACATCAGCGGCTCCTCCGGCACCCCCAGGCCCTCTCACGGTCCTCCCTTCACCTCCTGCAAGACCCCCCTCACCCCCGCCGAGCACAAGGTTCTGGATGACAATACACATGAGGTGAGGTGTGTTTGAGTTAAGTGACGTTGTTCTGGAGCTGGGAAGGGTTTGTTGAATAGGCAGGTGCAATGTCCATCATATGAGTCATACAAGCTTTACATTCTTGCAGTTATAACTTTTAGTAAACATGAAAAATGAATTTGAAACACAGATAAACGTGTTTCTAGGACAGGAAGGGATATCTGTTGTTTGGCTTTTTTTTGTGCAACGTTTCAGAATATCTTTCTTTAAAAAAAAGCACACAGTTAAGTAAAACTGTAATAGAAACGAGTGGAATTGTGACACCAGAAGGTTTTAAGTATGAATATGATTCTAAATGATGTTTGTGCATCTCATCTAGTTACATTTGTGGAACTCAACCTTTAAACATCCTATCTAACAGCCCATTAACCTCATTTTGCAAACAAAGCACGAAGTAATGTCTTGAATACATGCAGTTCATCTAGTTAGTTTAATTTATTTCTTTTTACTTTAGAGGCTACTGTCATAATGTGTGAGTATATGTTCTCTTGTTCTCCTAGACAGGGTTCAACGGTGACGATGGCTCCCATGTGATTCTCACATGGGTGGGCGATGGCACAGGAGTGAGTACCTCAGTATTACAGCAGTACCACAACTGTTTTAATTGAAATATATAATTTTTAAACAATCTGCCTTACACCTCCTCACATTTAAAAATGGAAAAATTTTACTAACTAATACAGACCCTCATCACTGGGGTTTAAATATGTCAAAGTTTCAACATTGCTGCATTCCTAGGTCGTCCTGGTGCTGTCGACATTTAGTGCCCCAATAGATTCTTTCTTTGAAGGAGGCTCCTCACGACTTTATCGAAGGTGAGTTAATATCTGATATGTTACAAGAACTTGCAGAGCAGCAAATCCACCCCACCCAACATACAGTAAAAGCTCTCCTCTCTCATCAGTACGGATTACGGAAAATCCTTCCATGACATTTCCCATCGGATCAACAACACCTTCATAAGGGAGGAGTTTGGAGTCAGTGTTGGACCAGGGAGCTCTGTAAGTTAACAGTCGGGGCGCCTACTGCGTGAAGTTTGTGAGTAGTTTAAGTTTCGGTTGGGGAATGTTCCTTCCGCTGGGAGGAGTGTGTGATGTTGCTTCACAAAAGTGTGAAGACATCCCACACTCTGCTGTCTAATCAACTCGTGCCACATCTTTACTTGTTCTCACAGACTTGTGGTTGACATGTTCACCCACAGAAATGCATTGTAGACATTTTGGCACCAGCAACAGATCATGATCTAACCAGAGGTTTACTTTTGTACACATTGTCAGCTCTTTTTACTCATTTTTGCCCAATGAAATTAGGAATATATGGGAATGGGGCAGATTTGACATACAGTTTTTTAGGTTGACAGCACTGT